GTGCTCCCAACATTGCAACTGATGATCCAAGAGGCAGAGAGCCAAGATGGGAGCCACATCATTGTTTTTGCATATTCTATTTGAGAGAAGTGAGGAACTAGGTCTGCTTCCTAAGAAGAGGGATGCGCACAGACATTATTCCTTGGAGATAGCACCGGGGGCCAGTTTAGAGGCTGTCTACCCCAGCTACCCGCCTTATCTTCCTATTAACAATAGTAATAGCAGGCATTATTAACTTTGCAGGGTTGGTGTGAGAGGAACAAAGAGTTCCAGGAAAGGCAGTGTGGTCAAAGGCCCTCAGGTCAAATTATGGTGACGAACCCAGAAACCTGCATTTGAGCAGTATCAAGCACACACATCAGGCACACTAGAACTTAAGAGCCACTTACATAATTTTTTCTTTCTTCTTTATAAATTAAGAACAATAGGAAGACAGAAAAATTGGATGAAAAAGTGTTGCAGGAGTGAGAAGTGGCAAAATTTTCTAAACTTCACCCAATGATTCTGAACCCTGGACTCTAAATAGCAATCTGGGCTGGGTCTGTTCTCAGGGCAGCTGTTAGCTGGTAACCACACTGGAAATTCCAATTACATTTCACAAATGTAACTTGTGAAAAAAAAACCTCATTGGAGAAGTTTCCCTAGACTTCACTAGGAACCTTCCATCATTCCGTATGATCCATATCCCACCCAACACAACTACCTCCTCCCACCCTGCAGCTGCCTGGGATACCAGGCTACCAGACAGCCCTTTAAACAGCCAATGTGTTTAGCAAATGACCGGCAAATACAAATAAGCATCCTAGATTAAGTTTAACTCACCCTGGAGCATCACTTGGCCTCACCTTACTATTTAGCAGTAAACACTTGCTATTTCATACAGAAGAAAAATGGATCTACACATAGCTGCAGTTTACAGCACAAGGAAATGGGTAGCTCTTGCCATCCAATCAGATTATCAGAAGCTGGAAGACACAGTAAGATTGCTTCAAAAATATCCCCTTCCATGCCAGGGGGAATAATCCTCCTCAGAGACACCCTGCAGCTAGCTAGCTCACTTCATCCGTTAAACAGCCTAAACTTTGTCTCAATCCCCCAGTTTCTTGCTTGATATAAAGTCAAGTCTTTCCATTATAATTTATAGCCTTTTCTATAGTTCTGACCTCAGGAAAAATGGATAATCAGTGCCTTTAAAGATTCATATTATGGCATTGCTCAGCTTTGCCCACCATCGGAGAAGGTGGGGACACACACTGCTGCCTTTTAGCTTTTTCTGCTTTGATCTACTTGGCCTGTTTCTGGTAACAGGAAACTTTAAAAAAAAATCAGAGTGGATTAAGTTTGCAAAATATATTTGTGTAGACACAAGGGAAATAGCTTGGTATGTTTTTGTTTTTCTATGTCCTACCAACATGTATGGGTTCCTATTAAGGTGCTGTGGCTTAAAGAGATGATACTTAAAACACACAAGTTTTCCTAATGAATGATGCCTAAAAATCAGAAATGCACAACTTGACTTGGTCAGCTGGTCTAATCTGATAAGAGTGAGCTCCATTGAAGTTTTAGTCCAAAGACACATAGAATTAGAACCAGAGAGTATTATTTTTTCATTTTTAAAACTATGTACATAATAAAGCTCTTAAATTATTGAGTGCTTCTAAAAATTGTACTGAATAGTCCTCCAAGGAAACTCTAAAACTAACTTTAATATCATTTGTCATTTTTACCTATTATTTCTTTATGATGCCTGGGTGGAGCTGGGCAGGAAGGGAATCCTGATGTTATAGACGAGAATTTGATATAACCAAGTTACCGATGGAGACCTGTCAAAGCTGAGGCAAAACCAGAACTGGAGTTTGATCTCCTGGTCTTCAACTCTGACCTCTTTAACTTTCTAGAAATGAATACCGCACACTGACTCCATTTCCACACATTACACACATGAGGACAATTTCTGCCGTTTTCATTTGTGTGACTTACACTAGAATTTTATCCAGATACTGGTTATTTAAGTAAACAACAGAACTCTGCCACTGTATCTGAAGAAATTATCTTCAAAATTTTACAAATTAAGCCAGATATGGTAGTACATGCCTTTAATACCAATGCTCAGGAGGCAGAGGCAGGAGGATCTTTTAGTTTAAGGCCAGCTAGGGCTACACAGTAAGACCCTGGCTCAAAAAAAAACAAACAAAAAAAAAAAGAAAAAGAAAAAACCTCCTCTAGTGTTCAAAAATCTTGCCACACTATAACCAGCCCTGACCATAAGCAGCAAAGCCCATCTTACTTACAGGACAGAATCATGGCTGCCTGCCTGGACACCAGGGACACTCAGCAGCCTTTGGTCCTTCAGCTGTGCTCCACTCAGTCACACACATCTTTTAAATGAAAGCATAGTTGGCCTAAGATGTTTCTCAGGCAAAGTTAACCCCACCTATTTTTCTGTTCTGAAAACCTCAGAGAGGTGTGTGAATGACAGCCGAATGGCCTATATAAGAAAGTTCAGAACTCTACCCAGATGCGGGGCGTATGCTAGCACTTCCTTATTACTATGTGTGGGTGTGTCTAGCAAACATTTTTAAGAAATCACAAAATTTTGCTAAAAGAAACCTTTAAAAATGATCAAGTCAAACTCCCCTCTCAGGACAGAGAATGAAATAAAGGAACGGGGCCAGAGAGATGGATCAGCAGTTAAGACCACTGGTTGCTCTTGCAGAGAAACTGGGTTTAGCTCCCAGCACCCACATGATGGATAACTCCAATTCCAGGGAATCTGATGACCTCTTCTGACATCTGCAGGAATGCATGACATGGGTGTACTTACATACATGCAGGTAATACACTCATACACATAAAATAAAAATAATTACTTTTTTTTGGAAAAAAAGAAATAAAGGAACAGACAAGATAAGGGATTTCCCTAAGGGCACACAGTTATAGTAGAAACAGAATTAGAGTCTAGGATTAGGAATATCAAATCTAGGCTGTTTGGTCTCTGACTCCAGGAGCCTTATTTGGGCTTGAGAGATGATCTAAGGATCCTCTTAACAGGTGATTGAGGCAGGTCCAGAAACATGAAAAGAACATCAACAGTTCATTAAGGAGTTTGAGCTCATCCCATTTGAAAACATAACCTAACACTAAGGGAGCTACTTTAATGAAGACAGCGTATTCACACTGCCTTTGCTGTTTCCTGCCTGGTGGTTGAGATTTCCTTAGCACTCTGAGTAGGTATGTCTATTGTTCACGTCATCTTTTGTCCTAGCTCTGCTTCTATATAAATGTTTTTTTGGGTTTTTTTTTTGCGGGGGGGGGGGTGTTTTTTGTTTGTTTTCATTTTAGTGAAAACTGCTTCAGGATTTTTGGAGAAAAATGTCCCAAGTATTGATAGATAGTATTTATCTTGTTTTCCCTTGGAGGGTATTTCTAGGGGTGGGGAAATGGCTCAGTGGGTAAAGAGCACTTGGCTATTTAAATGGCAAGTGGGCATGATATACCACTTGTAATCCTGGTGCTTGAGAAGGGATGATGGGAGATGCTAAAGGAAAACTGGCTAGCTAGACTATCCGAATCAGTGATCTCTGGGTTGAATTCAGAAACTCTGCCACAGTATATAAAGTGGAAAGCAATCAAGGAAGACACCATACATCAACCCCTGGTCTCCACACGCATGTGCACACACACCCATACACATATGAAATATAAGGTGCTTGTAACTATTCCAACAGAAACTATACTCTCTTCAGTACTACTTAGTATATCCCACAGCTGGTCCAGGTGAAAGGGGCACTTGGGGAGAAGTGAAGAGGAAATTTGACAGAGACAGTAAGGTATAGTTTGCATATGACCAGATCCTTGAAGGAACTACAAGTCATTTAAAAGGTATATAAGGTTTTGTGGTGTGACTGGGTAAATAGGAAGGTAAGAAGGAATGTGACAGTATATGACAAGGATATTTTACTTTTTTTCCATTATAAAAGGTCCAAGGAAGAAATGAACACAACCTTCAGCACAGTTGGGTACAGACTCCTGACCAAAAAAAGGTGGTTCCCCAAAGTCAGAGGGAAGACGCTCCTCAGGGCAGCCAGCTCCTGCCTGTACGTTCACCAACCACTCCAGTGTAGGAGCGATCACAGCAGCCCTCAATGGGTACGGAGCTACTGAAGGAAAGGCCGTTACCTTCCTCAGCTTTTGAGCCCCAGAAATACAAGAGCAACATGTTTGGCAATGTTTTCTGCCTGTGGTAACTGAGATGGCTTCTTTCTCCCATAGCTCATGAGAAACAAAGAAGCTCTAACTCAGTGAGTGTCTCAGTCATGAGACTGTGAGGGTGAGAAACCCAATCGAACTGGAGAGTCTCACTGATCCAGGTACCCAAGTCCAACCAGGCTTCCCGAAAAGCACATGGCATCTTGGAACATGATCTCCCCAGGAGACCTCTCAGCAGCATCCCCTGGACTGCCACTGCTTGAGCTGCTCTGGGTCCCTAGTTGAGCTGCAGGCAGCTCCAGAGCCCAGCACCTCGGTGATGATGCCCTGGCATATTCTTAAGACTTAGGAGGTGACTGGTTCCCTCAAATTTCCACTTAATTCTAATCAGTTCTGGCCACCATGCTCAGGAGCAGATAGCTCATCACAGGCACTGCCAGTAGCTCAATCTGGGCAAGTATCTCCACTCATCTGCCCTTGTGTGAGGGGGGCATTAATATCTGAAAAACCCAGGCTTTCCTCTCTTCAGTAAGGAATATTTTGTCCCTAGAGGAGAAGGAATTGCAGCTGTCAGATATATTCTCTTGTCCCAGAAGTTTCAATTAAAAAGAGAAATTTGGGGCTGGAGAGATGGCTCAGTGGTTAAGAGCGCTTGCTGTTCATAAAGAGAGCCAGACTTCAGTTCCCAGCATCCATGTTGGGCGGCACACAACCACCCATAACCCCAGCACATGCACACACACACAGACACACACACACACAAAGGAAAACTCGTGTTTCTTATAAATATATAACTTTATATATTATATGTATTTACAATATATACAGGATACAAATATTTTAAAATGTAATACTAAGAACAGTTTTGGAAACAGATGTTTTCCCAAAAAAGACTGGGTACTATCCAAGGTGGGTTCCTGATTTACCTGGATCTCAGCTGCAGACAATGGCCCAGGCCCAGGTTTATGTAGACGCCAAAGGGAAGAGTTGCTGGAATATGGCTCTGCCCCCTTCCTGAATACTCTGGCTTTCTACTAGCACCAGCTAACATCGCCCATGTGCACCCCTATAATGGGCAAACTCTGAGGCCTGGACATAGTCCCTGGTACACTGTTGGCACTCAAGTTCTTTTTTTTAAATTATTTTATGTGTATGAGTGCATTGCCTGTATGTATGTATGTGCACCCATGTGTTGCAGTGCCCACAGAGGTCAGAAGAGGGTGTCGGATCCCTTGGAACTGGAATTACAGATGGTTGTTAGCCACCACATGGGTGCTGGAAATTGAACCTGGGTCCTCTGCAAGAGTAGCCAGTGCTCTTAACCACTGAGCCATCTCTCCAGCCCCAAAACTCGAGTCCTTGAGGAATGAATAGAAGTGAGTCCTTTTAATCACCAGCTCTAAGACATCATCTCCATGGCCCAGAAGACAGCCACAGAGCTAAGGGTAGACTAGAAGCAAATGCCTTAGGAGTTGCCACATTTTAAGTAGAACAGTCTAGAGACCCAGGAGCCAAGTGAATTAAGTTCCCACAGACTGCCATTTCTTCCTCTTGCTTTGGAATCTGGAGCCACTGGTCACACCACTTATCTTCCAAAAGTTTCTTCACATTCAACTAGTTCATCGATCGTGCGCAGTAAATCTTCAAATGAAGGCCTTCCCTCTGGTTTCTACAATTAAAAGTCAAAGAGAAACTGAGTTTCAGAATTCATTCCCAAGAAAATTCTCATTGCTCAACATCCTGCAGCACACTGCAGAGAGGTGCTCATAGCTCAGGGACTAGGGAATATAGGCATCTCTAAGCGGGGTCTGTTTCTATGTAACCTACCCCACATGCTCTGCTACAAGATGTTTCTGAGACTCTGTTTTCATGTCCCTGTTCAAGGACCTATTAGAACTCCTTGAGAAATCAAGCCTTGTTCATTTGTAGAGCCCTCTGTGACCTCCCCCTCCCCCCAGCCCTTGTCACCTAACCTCATTTCCCACAAAAAGCCTCACAAGGCTCTTTGTTAAATCAGACTAAGCTCCACCCTTGGGCACACACACCTTGTTTATAACCACCTCCTCACATGTGTTCATGCTGTTTTCTCTAGTACCACTTCCTGCCCTCTACCCACCCCAATCAGTGCCCTTCAGAGGTGTCAGAGCAAGTGACAGGGAGCCTGGGTTTGGGGGCTAGATGGGCCTCTGTTGCTAACTGGCCGTGGGCAAGCATCACCCATGAGTCTTAGTCATCTCTATCAAGTGATCACAGTACACGTAGCCACACCTCCAAGGGTTATTCTGAGAACCAAATCTAAAGGACTAAGTCCAGGGTCTGGTACACAGTGAGTTCTTGTGAGTTCTTGTCTTTCAAAGGTCATTTTGGTATCAATCTCTTCTAGGAAGGTAACAGTTTTCAATACTTCTAGAGACTGAGGAGAGACTTGGGGAAATTGAGATTAAAGGAGGAAACCCTCTCTAGAGAGAGAGTACTTACTGCAATCCCGTAAGTACTTTATAGAAAGGAGAGGCACAGCTTCCCCAGGCTTAACCCCAAGTCCCTGACTGTGGAAAGGGTCTCACTTAGGAGTGAGGGAGCAGCCAGAGTTTGTGTATCATCAGCATTATCCAGTTCACAATATTCAAAACCGACAGGAAAGAACTGGCTTCCTACCTAGAGCTCGAATCATCACGAAGCAAACACAAGACCTCGTTACGCTGTAAGGACTGTACCTTATCCACCTACCAAGCCCAAACTTTGACTACTTTACAGATTCAATAAGAGGCATAAAGAAGTAGTCATACCTCCTGCCAACACCTCAGCATCACCTCATATAAGTACTTAGACGCCAACTTCGGCCGGTAGAGTCGGTGGCCTCGTGTAACCATGGTTACCACTTCATAATTGGTGTTTTTCTCAAAGGGCATTCTGCCTTCTGTGAATACTTCCCACATTAAAACACCTAGAAAAAGGTAAGGTTACTCAATGACATGTCTACTTCCTCCTCAGTGCAGAGGGGAGGAAATGTGGAACACCGTTCTTACCAAATGACCAGACATCTGACTTGCTGCTAAAGCGGCTGTAATTAAACACTTCCGGTGGACACCACTTCACAGGAAACTTAGCACCAGAAGAACTTGTGTACTGGTCGTCCAGAACATACCTAGGTTGAGATACACCATGGGTTTACCCCTCCGCATTTCATACATGGACTTTCATTTCTCCCGTTAGAAAACAAAACAAAACAGTGATTGAAGTCTAACAGCATCTGGCTGAAGTCAAAAGTTCAGCTCAGTGGTCAATTTAAGGGCGTGAGAGAGAGAATGCTGTGAGGTATTCACATCAGTATCTGCACTTTCACTGTTCTGGTCATCTTTCTTTTTTATTAGGCAATAGAAGCAATACTGTAAAATGATTACACTGTTTTGTATGTGATTTTGTTCTTTAAACAAAATTTCACTTAAAAGCCTTGTAAGTGAAAGATCTAAAGCACAGCTGCTCTAAAGGAAGTGGTGACAAGTGTCTAGAGACACCCATGCTGGAAGCCCCCACAATGCCTCAGAGCACAACTCAAAACTACAGCAAGTATGAATAAACTAGAAACAAAATGAAGTCCGGAAAGAGCGTGAACATATTTACATACGACACTTTCCACACTCAAAACATTGTATTATTTTTCTAGTGAACATGTATAGGCCCATCTAGAAAGACACAGAAACTAACAACTCTGGCTACCTCTGGGGAGAATTCTTTACTCTTGATAGATGTGAGGATTTCAGCCCTTTCTGTGGTGTGTTCAGCACATATTTATAAAAGGAGTGTACTAGTATAGCATATATTTATATGAAGTCAATTTCTAAAGGTGCCATGTGAAAATATTCAAATGAGTATACAAACTTCCTCTTTAGAAGGGTACAAAGATGGTGTCTGGCCAACAGTGCCACCATGGGCTGTATCAAATAGTCTTCAGTCAGGTAAGTCTGAATTTAGTGAATAAAGAGTAGCTTTACAAGGACTGATAAAAAAGTATTGATTTTCTGAAAGCCAAATATATGAATATCTAACATAGGAAAGTCCAGGGCTGCCTGATACTAGATATCTTTACATACAACAAATAGAGAGGACTGAGTAATTAATGCCTCTAGAATCAGAAGATGCCAGTAACAGCTTTCACCTCCCTAAGCTAACATTGCCTTAAGAGCTGGCATTGGCCATGCAGGACCTGAGTCTTATGTGACTTTTTAACTCTTCTAGCCCTGCCCATGGACCAGCTGCCTAAGTCTTCTTCCAGTTCTCTGAGCAGGCTAGCCTTGTCCGAAACGCCAAGCTGTTCCACTGTTGCTTCTTTTGTTTGGGGGAATCTTTTGTGCTTCTTTTTTTTTTTTTTTTTTTTTTTTTTTTTTCTGGAGAAAATTTCAGCACAGGCTAGGCTCCAATCTAAACACCAGCATTTGGGAAAAAAAAAACTGTTTTTGTTTTTGTTTTGGGGAATTTTTTGTGTTTCTTTTTTTTTTTTTTTTTTTTTTGTCTTTTGGTGTCCATTCAGTGTCCTCATGGAAAAAAATTGTTCTGGTCCCCAAATACCCAATGGTTACTTCTACCCTCAATCCCAAGATATCTCTTTCATGGAGGGCAGAAGACTTTTTTGAGAAAGGTCAGATAATACAGAAGTATTTCAGATTCTGCAGACACACAGTACTTGTGTGAACTCTCAGTTATGCCACGCCAATGAAAAACTCCAAGACAGCCATCAACAATCCTATCTCAATAACACTATTTTATTATGGACACTGACTTAAGTGTCAGATAATTTCCAGGTGTCCTGATACTGTGAATTTCTTTTTAACTATTTTCAAATGTAAAATCCACCTTCAGCCCACAGGACACTCAAAAAGAGGAGTGGCAGGCCATTATCTTCTCACCCCCATCACAGTCACTCAGTCCAGCTCTACATTTCTCCCTCCTCCAGTGTTTAAGCTGCATGTGGACAGGACTTGTAAAGCTTGTTCTCTGCTGTGGTTTACAGGGTCGGGCCTGGCACATACTAGACACCTCATTTCTAATGTATCTAATCATGGGTAGAGGGAGGGAGAGAAAAAAAGACAAAATACTCCTTAAAGTTCTTTTCTAAAACTCTATCAAAATCACAAAAGTCAAGAGAATAAAAACACTACAAACATGAATATTCTAAGATCTGGATCACCAAACACATTCCAAAAGATTCTAGAAAATAATCCACACTGGCGAGAAAGCCATGGATTTAATAGGTTATACTACCATCTAGTGGAGAAAATTACTAACACCTCAATATACAGTTTCTCTCATATCTCCTAATAGTAAGATTTCCTTTCTATTTCATTGGTATAAATTATTCCCACATTTAAGACAGGGTTTCACGTAGCCCAGGCTAGCTTCAAACTTGCTATATAGCTAAGAATTATTTTGAATTCCTGATCCTCCTGCCTTCACCCTTCAAGTGCTGGATTATGAGCACGCATCACCACTACCAGCTCCTAAAGTCTATATATAATAAGTTTATAATAAATCATAACTGTAATTTTTTACTTTATTTATTATTTTTATGTGTATGCGTGTATTGCCTGCATGTAGGTAAATGCACCCATGTCATGCAATGCTCAGAGAGGTCAGAAGAGGCTGTCAGATCCCCTGGGACTGGAGTTATGGACAGTTGTTAGCTGCCATGTGGGTGCTGGGATTCGAACCCAGGTCTTCTTCAAGAACAGTCAGTGTTCTTAACCACTGAGCCATCCCTCCAGCCCCCATAAATGTATTTCAAAACAATTCTTTGATACACATATGATTTTATCATTTATTAGAGACAAAGGCATAATAAGGCATAATAATGTCCTGTTTGTCTCATACAGTACAATCAAAAGTTACACTAATTTGATATAGGCTGAGGAATGATGGCAAGAAAACATAAAAGCCCTTGATTTCCATAATTAAATTATTATGCTTCTATAAGAGCAGAAAACTTAGTATATACAATAAAAACTCGAAATTCATAGGAAAGTCTTGTATCTGAGCTGATGTGCATCAGGCAGTTGCCATTCGCACTTCCTGGTGACAAGGTGCACAGTACAAAATATGTGTATGTATGCTGTGTGTTCAGAGCGAAGGCTGCAGTGAGGTTGTGTAATGTGGCATGGGCGAATGCTGCCAGAGACACCTTGGATTCTTTATGTGTTTGATTTTTGTATTAATTTTGGTCAGTGCACATTCAGAAGCCCTTTATTCTTGCCAATTTTTTTGTGTGTCTTCCACATTCAGTTACGTGACCACTGGGCTCATAACTCACAGTTTAATTGGCTTCTCTCCCTTTTTTTCCCCCTCTCCTGCAAAGTCTTTTGAAGTGGCTGCTTTTTTTAAATGAACTCTCTTTGTTTGCGCATATAAGTTCTGGGCTGTTTGATACAAATCTAGCATTATTGCCTCCCAAGGGTTCTTCATGTGAACTCATCTAATTCTTGCCTGCCCCTTCCATTGTTAGATTTTTAAAATTTTCGTTTTTCCATTAGGTGTACGTGTGTGTCTCCGTGTGGGTTTGTGCTCATGATCTTTAGTGAGACACAAAATGAGAAAGAGACAGAGGCAGACAGACACAGACAGGTGAAGACACAGAGAGAAAGAGACAGTATGCCTACATATGTGGAGGACAGAGGACAATCTTGGTGTCGTCTTCACAAACATGATACTTTGAGGCAGGGTCTCTCCATGGCATAGAGCTCACCAATGAGTTTAGGGTGGCTGGCAATGAGTCTAGGGATCCACCCATCTCTGCCTTTCCAGTGCTGGGATTACAAGCATGTGCCACTACTCCTGGCTTGTTTCATGTGTTCTGGTCAAACTCAGGTCCTCATGTTTTCAAGGCACACAGTTTACCAAATGTGGTATCACCCAAGACCTTCCCCCACTTATCAATTGTACAAATAATGTAACCATCATTTCAAAGCACATAATCCTCAGCCATACCTAGCCATTCCAAAATCAGATACTTTCACAACTCCTGCTTCATTTACTAGACAATTTCTGGCAGCCTGGAAAACAACATTATGATGTTATATTAATTAAAAAGTGCTACAATAAAGGAAAAATGTAAGCTTAGTTTATAGTAAATATAACACAGTCAACATTTGCAAAGGCTATAAATGCATTCTTACAAATTGTTTGCATCCTTACAGAAAGTGCCTCCAACACATACTTTTGAAACAACATGCAGAAAGATTAGAAATAACATAATACCCAAGGTATTATGGCATTCTTTATCAATGGTTGTATTTAAATAAGGATTAATGGACACCTCAATCATCTTCTCTTTCCAGTCCTATTCTTACTAGACATGTGATTTTCTTACTATGACAGTGCCTCTTGAAGTTTTTAATCTAGGTTTCCCCTAGATGAGTTTAGTAGCACACAATCATCAAAAAGACCAGCAACCAGAGATTGATCACCTCAACCCCAAATAAGCAAAAGAATAGCTATATATAAACAGTGTTTGAGATTTCCAATACATTAAGACAATATGCTGAATTAGTCAAATCCATTAGCATGGATTATTTAACATATGTGTTCTCTTGTCTATTCTTTAAGGTTATATGGTTCAAGAAAATAATTTGGTAGAACAGCATAGAACTTCTCAAAAGTAAGATATATTTTTTAATTTAATTTTTAAAAAAATTTCATATGAGTACTGTATTTTGAATTTTTATTCATATATTTTAAGTATATGAGTGTTTTGCTTCTATGTATGTAAATGCACCCATATTGTGCAATGCCCATAGAAGTCAGAAGAGGGCACTGGATCCCCTGGAACTGGAGTTATGGATGGTTAATAGCCATGTGGATGCTGATACCAAACCTGGGTCCTTTGCAAGAGCAGCTGTTAAGGTCCTTAACAGCTGAGTCATCTCTCCAGTCCCATGAATACTGTATTAACATCATTTCTACCCCTTTCCTCTCCCCTCTCCAACTCCTCCAAGGATCCCCCATTAATGACCTCTTTTACACACACACACACACACACACACACACACACACACACACACGCACAACTTAATCCATTTAGTGTTGGTCTATTTATATGTGTTTAGGGCTGACCACTTATGATCAGATAATCTGTCAGGGAACTTGTCCCTGAAGAAAACTGGTTCTTCCTCTCTCAGCAGCCATTGATTGCCTGCAGCTCTTCATCTAGGGGTGGGGCCTGGTGAAATTTTCCCCATCCGTGTTGCCATGTCAACTGGTATTGTCATCATGCAGGACTTGTTTAGGGAACAATAATGTTGAGGTTTAATAGGTGCTGCTTCCCTGTCATGTCTAGAAGGCACTAACTCCTTAAGTGTAGCTCTTACCCCTCATCAAAGAAGCTTTTTGTAGCAGATGGAGACTATTACAGAGATCCACAACTGGCCAAAATGCAGAGAATAAGTGACCATGGGATGCCCAATCCCAATTGGTCCTTCACTAAGGCTCAGGGAACATCATGGAAGAGGGGGGCAGAAAGATTGTAAGAGCGAAAGATATATGTTTAACACCAGAACCCAGGGACAAGGCATAGTTGTCTTCCTGACTATTCGGACACTTATTTTCCTTATGAGGCAGTTCCCCTTATATTAGGCTCTCTCCTCTGACCACATTTTAAGAGTCTCTTCTCAAGTGAGACTTAATATCAATATTTAGAATTATCTGCATTGTCCTACGAGGACAGCCACAATGCTGTCACTTCCTGGTCCATGGGATTCTTTGTCCAAGAGAGAAACACATGAGAAACTTCCTTTAAGAAGTGATAAAGAATACATGAAGTTATCAGAAAAAAGTGATGGGAAGATATGGGAGGAGTTGGAGGGGAGGGAGTGGGCATGGATTTGATCAAAACACCTTATATGCATGTATGAAATTCTCAATAAATTATTTATTAAAAAAAAAAAGAAGTGGTAAAACCTGCTAGAGTTTCATATAAGTCTCATGGCTCTCCCAAACGTCAACTTTGCTTTCACAAAAATAAGGTCTGTGTGGACAAGTGCAACCAGCTGGAGTCATGAATATTTTCAACTTGTGTCAGTTTTAGAAGTTCAAAAATAGGGAAGATGCTGAATTCATGAGTTTCAATATGACAGTCTTTGTCATAACTAAGCATAATAATAAGAATTCATGTTATATGTAATGTTTACAAAGTCCTTTGCCTCAATTATATACTATAAGCTTTAAAGGAGTCTTTTGAGCAAAATAACACAAATAATACAAAAAAAATAACACAAATCCAATTTACAGAATGGATTGGGTGACTAACTCACAACACACCTAGGCAATCAAGTCTTTCATTGCCAAATCCTTAATCCTTTATTATGCTTTAAATCTGGAGCTAGCATGCCAGTCAGAGTGCTGACTCTAGAGACAAACTTCCAGGGTTCAAATCCAACCTCCACCAATTTCTTTAACCATTGATGACATTTTATTCAATTTCATTCATTTCATTTTCTTTGTCTTTAAAATGGAAATAGTAATAATATCTACTTCTTATGGTTGTTATGATGCTGAAATGAGTTTTTCTTGTACAATACAAAACCAATGCCTGTGCAAGATGATGTTGAATTTTTTTAAAAAGAAAGAAAAAAAAAAAAAAACCTTGCAACTAGACTCTAGAAAAAAAAAATATGTCCATGTTTCAAGCACAAGGAAACTAAAACTAAAAACGGGGCAGGCTCTAGATACAAATCATATCAATTTTGGTGAAAGAATCAAGGTAGACCAATCATGCTGCTGCTATGCTGAAAACAGCTGCAAATGTGAACAGCTGGAGAAAAACAGCCGGTAAAGAGTAGGGGGAGGGTGGCTAGGAAGTGTCTCCACCACAGAAATTTAGAACTAGTTGTAAGCTTTTCTTTCCTTTCCTTTTTTTCCAGTCTTTCCCCTAGTGTGTTGAGAGATCATGATTCTGAGCTCAGGATTGCTCTGACAGTTTCCATTTACAATGTGCTAGGTAGAAAAGAGCCTGAGATTTGGTCAGAAGGTGAAGGCCAACCCTAACTTCTCTATTTATCACATTAGATAAGTCTTTTCACTTCCCCAAAGCTGGCTTTATCTCTAACACAATGGTGGTAATAAATCTTCTACACAATCTATCCCCTGGGAATCTTCTAGAGCTCAAATAATTAATTCATGGAAACTTACTAGGAGATATTAAGTTGATAAGTTATTAGATTTAATAAGATCTTTCCTTTATGAAGTGAAACGTACCAAGTTTTTAAAAAAAGACCAATAAAATAAAATAAAATAAAATAATGAAACCTTGTTAAGCACAAAAATAAGGTACTAATATATCATAGCTCACTGGCTAACCCAGTGTGACAAAGGCATCTAGCTGGTGAGTGGGATGCAGGGGACCACAGTTACCAGGTCTCTGTGGATGAAGCTGTTTCTTTCCAGGTACTCCATCCCTTCACATACATCCTGACACATGCTCAGCAGCACATCTCTGCTGAAATGACCTTGTCTCTGCCGAAGGAAATTCAGAAGGCAGCCACGTTCCATGAACTCAGTAACAATATATATGGGTTTCTGCTGGGTGCATACACCATAGAGCTGTACCAGCTTGGGGTGTGTTAACTTCCTGGGAGCAAAGACATACACACATAGAATTACCACAGGAAAAGAAACCAGCAGGTGTTAAGTGCTGGGTAGGGTCCATTTTTAATAGAGAAAAAGAAGACCTGGAAAAAGCCAGGACTCACATCATGACTTTAGCTTCTTCTATGAAGTCCTCCTCACACATGGCGCCTTCACGAATAGCTTTGATGGCTACTTTGTACTGGGCTCGCCATTTGCCTAGTCGTACCACTCCAAACAGCCCACTCCCCAACTCCCTCATGAAGGTCAGCTCTGAGGGATTAATCTCCCACTTCTCTGTAAGACAGAGGAGGAAAAGATTCTTTAATAAGAATAGCATGAATTCCTAGGGAAAAGAGAAGTTCCAAACAAGCCGCCTTCACAGTTGAGGCTGACACCGTAATAATCACAGAAAAACAGAGAACAGCCTTACATCCTGCACCTAGATCATATTGAGATGTTCCCCTCTGAAGTCATCCAGTACGAGCAGAGGGAAGCAAAGAAGGCAAGAAAACGATGCCTAATAGGCTACTAATAGGCCAAATGGCTACTAATAGGCTACTAATGACATAGCTGAGCGTTTAGGTATTTTTTTTTTAAACAAATATTTTTTCCTTTGCTACTCTTTCTCCTGTGTTGTTTTTCTTTTTCATTCTGTGGAGTTAGGAAGAATTAAGCCTGTTATTTAAAGGGCTTTTTGCCAGAAGCAACAAAAAACAATCACATTGGAAGCAATCTCTAGCACTTTCAACCTTACATTCCTGAAAGGAGCTGACAAAGTGGATGAGAATCAGGAAGGCAATGATTTATTTTAGCTGGACTGTGAGAGTTTATTTTTCATCTGTGGAAATTTTTCTGATGAATTATGAATAATGATGAAGAGAGAAAACCAAAAAACCAAGTGTCACTATAAAGTATAATCATCTAAAACACACTCTATCAACTTATGAAAAACAGTTCTACAACTGGTCCCTCTGAATCTGCTTTTGCTAAAAAGTGCTGACTCCTCACTTGGGCCCACAGGGAAGCTAAGGCAGGGTGTAACGTGGCACCTCAGCCTTCATTTGCACCTGTCTCTGTACTTACTTGTGCATGTCTGTGTGTTGATCGGTCAAGAGGCATACATCTAAAAACTGGTAACACTTAACTTATCTCATTTCCCTTTGTGGCTGAAGGCACGAAGGGAAGGGGAGCGGAGGCATCTTCTCACCAGCTGTTTTTTGTTTTGTTTTGTTTTGGTTTTTTTTTTTTTTTTTTTTTTTTTTTTTTTTTTTTTTGGTCTTTTTTGAGACAGAGTCTCCCTGTAGTAGACCAGGCTGGCCTTGAACTCACAGAGATCCGCCTGCCTCCGCCTCCCAGCACTGGGTTCAAAGGGGTGCGCCACCAAGCCCAGCCCCATCAGCTTTTAAAGACACCTAAATGTCTCCTAAATCTATAACCTTGGATTCCAGGAACAGCAGAGCCTCCCAGGGAAGAACACACCCCAGAAGAGGGCACCCTGGAGCAGGAACAATCTTTTCCTGAGAAACAGCCTGTCTCCTCAAGAAGTAAGGACTTCTTCAGAGCACCCAGCAGAACCATAACTAAGATAATGATCAACCAGACCACACCTTGACTGGGACTGCTCAATCATGTACATCTCCAGCCCCACCCTGACCTAATTCTTTCTCTACTGAAACCTAAAGCTCACAGCAGAACCCCGAAGACAAACTGGGGTTATTGGACCTCTTTATCTGTTCCTCTTTCCTATAGACAGTGATTAAACTGACTTTCTCTGCCCACCCCCCACCACTCATCTTAACTGGCATTTTGAGATAAGTGGCACAGTTTCTTCCAGAGCCTGGGCTTTTGCTCTAAGGTTCTGGCTACAGTTCCCCAGCACAGAATTCTACACATATAAAGATGCCTTGTAGAACTGGATTCTTTTCAAAGGGAACTAGTCAATGCAACTACAAAATGAGTTACCATAGCTGAAGCCTGCTGTGGTTGGTGCGTTCCTCCCCTTCGTACTAACCGGGTACCGCAGCCTGGTAACAAGTCCTAAGAAGCAAAGAAACTATTACAGTTAAATATTTTCCTATCATTCTACTTGGTCAAATGCTGCTGCAAGAAATGTACTGGGAACTTCATTTACTGGTTATTTCTGCCTCATATAGCCATATGCTATATGCTTTCACCCATCTTCAAGCTTCCTTTTAAATATACTGTGTATCTGGCACCAAGCTACTTAACTCTCCTCTCAAACATTTGAAAGGATATTAAAAGACTTCCAGGTACTGGAAAGATGGCTCAGTGGTTAAGAGCACACACTGCTCTTGCAGAGGACCAGGGTTCGAGTCCCAGCACCCAATGGTGGCTAACAACCATCAGTAACTCCAGTTCCAGGAGATTTGATGCTCTCTTCTGACCTCCAAGGACAGTGCATGACATGGGTGCATTTACATACATGCAGGAAAAACAGTCATACACACAAAATAAAAAATAATAAAATATGTTTAAGTATTTCCAATAGTTATTATCAGTGATTTCATGGGTTTTTTTTTCATTATGCTATCAGAGAATTTTATTGGTCTGCTAAATATTAACTCAATGTTAGTGATCTTTGTGTTAAGATCCTATTCCAGGATATTAGCAAGGAGGAATATGAAAGCTGGCAATCAGTGAGGTGAGTTAAATCCTCTAAGCTGTTTATAGCACTAAAAGAGAAACAGGAGGTTCCTCTTTTGTAAACACCAGAAGGGTTTCTAGTATTTCCTCTGTACAGTACATCTCATCATAACTTAAAACTGTACGTGTATCTGCTCCCCTCAGGAAACAAGACCTGGGAGACCCAGGATCAATGACCAGCCAATGTCCACCACACTTCAAACATTGGCTCAGATTCTAGCATGCAGTAGGCACTAAATACATGTCTGTTAAGTAAATTAAGGTAGTGGTGAAAATAAAACAAATAAAACACAAAAAAACAGGAAGAAATATAACAAAAAGTTATTTAGAGAAAAAAATGATACGAATTAATTGCTCAAATACTCAACACAGAATTGCAACACAACCCAGCAAACCCACTCCTCATACCCCAAAGAAATGAAAAACCATGTGCCAGTGTTCATATCATCATTAGTCATGAAATCCAAAATGTATGAAGTAACCCATGTCCACACATGGATTATTATTTGTCAATTAAAATGAGGCTATCTCATCTTGCATGCTGCCTCAACTTAGAAATTCCATCTTCCTCAGGATTTCTCTGCTGGGACATGTTAGACTTGAGCAGAACACACAAGGCAATCTTAAGAGTGTGCTCAGTAAGTCTATCATGGGGGAAAACTACTGGGACTCTTCACTCCCAAATCCCTAGTGATCCCTGCAACAGCCTTTCCTCCAACATCATCACATCCCAGATTGCATCTTGGTTTCCATAAGCAGATGAGGGTGTGCTAAGATAACTCCCAAGATCAGAAATTAGAGGGTCAGTGGTCTGCCTCACCATTTAGCATTCTTATACTGAAGGTGGAAATATGTTTTTTAAAAATTTAGGGGCTGGATTGAAGAGGTGGCTCAGTGGTTAAGCACACTGGCTATTCTTGCAGAAGACCAGATTTGAATTCCAGCACCTACATGGAAGCTAACAACAGTCCATAACTTATGTTCCAGGGGGATCTGACGCTCTCTTCTGACCCCCAAGGGCATTGTGGGTACAGGTACATTTACATACATACAGGCAAAACATTTTAAAATACACTTAAAAATAAAGTAAAATTTAGACTCTTTATTTGGCCTAAAAACCTAACTATTGCTCAAATATTATGTGAGGCTCTTCATAATAATTTGTATAAGATATTGCACAATTCCCATATGCCATACCCTATTCATTTTTAGAATTATCTGGTTATTTCAATAAGGGTGTATAGTTTTTTAAAAAAGAGAATACTTATATATGATACAACATGGACAAATGTCAAAATATTATAGTGCACCAAAGAATCCAGCCACAACATATAAATGTATGAGTCCATCTGTATAAAATGTTCAGACCAGGCAAATCTATTAAGACAGAGAGGTTAGTGGTTGCCTGGGGCTAGGCTGGTAAGGGGCAGCATGGGCAACCATAATGGGAACAAGATTTCTTTTCAGGATGATGACAATGTTCTTAAAATGAAAGTATGGTGATGTGATTGTAGGAACAACTGCAAATATCTAAAAGTCACTGAATCAAGTATTTTATATGGATAAATTTTGTGGCGTATAAATTATATCTTAATAACTATCACCTGAAAAATAGTAAGTGAACTCACAAAATAGCCACAGGTTTTGCAAAAAGGGCCTGTGATTAAAAACTCAAATGTTAATTTTCCATAAATTGGGCTAGGCACCTGGCTATCGGATATCCTGTATAAACATGATTTATGCTCTTATTTTTTTATGTTTGTTTGTTTCTAAGAGTATTAGAGATCTAAGCAGCTGAAAAACCCATGGGACACAATTACAGATGATCTGCAATCTCCAACAGTTCCACCTTACAATTTTTCAACTTTAACACGGTACAAAAGTAATATGTGTTCAGTAAAACCAGCCTGTTTGAATCTGGGTCTTTTCTATGGCTGGTGAATTTTGATCTTTTCCCGGAATAGTAATGTAAGACAGATACTTCAAGAGGCTGTGCAGCTGTGCTGAGCAACAACTCCCAGTCAGTCACATGATCATAAGGGTCAACAACTGATACTCTATAGTCAGCCATGTGATCATAAGGGTCAACAACTGATACTCTATAGTCAGCCATGTGATCATAAGGGTCAACAACTGATACTCTATAGTCAGCCATGTGATCATAAGTGTCAGCAACTGATACTCTATTGAGTGCTGTTTTGCTAAGCTAGGGTGTACAGTAGGTTAGGTGTATTAAATGCACTTTCTACTGAGAATATTTTCAGCTTATGATGGGTTTATTGGATATAATCCCAGTGTAAGTTGAAGGGTATCTGTACTCTCTTCTTTAAAGGCTTTAGCACAGGCTGAAATCCTGGATCAACTGGAAGCTTCTGTGACTACTCTAAAACACACACATCTTTGAGGTTTTTCTTTTGTTTTTCTTTTTGAGATAGGAAATCTCTCTATGTTGCCTGGGCTGGCCTTGAATTCTGACTGAAGCAATCCACCAGCCATAGCCGCCTGAGTTGTTCTTAAACTAGGCGTTTCTTGGATTCTTGGCTTAGTGCTGAGGATATAAAACACAGAAGTGAGAATCTCTATCACATCCTTTAGAATACCTCATGCCCCCTGATCCAGATACAGCTTTGTATGAAATCTAATGATTTCTGATTTTTCTTTGTATACAGATCATTCTTAATATGTAACCATTTTAAATCAGTTGTACTCTACAGTTAGCTAACTACAAAAAACTACCTTCAGAAGAATGTATTACAATACCTAGTCCTTTAGTCACTACCTCATATTCAAAATGGGTCTTCCCAGCTCACTTACCTGCTGCGTTGTGTTTATGATATTCAATGATCTCAGGAATTGAACCAAAAGCATGCTTTTCTGCTAGGTAATATTTCTTTGGAGATGTTGCTGTTTCCTTTATGTGATAATGCCTGAAACTTGATGAACCTTCTCTATAATAAAACAATGCAACACATTACAACCACACTGTAAATATGGACTTTTGATCTTAGCTCTCTTCTACAGGGCAACACAACCTCTCCATATTCTCTGTGCCTCCCTCTGTACGTCGCCTTCTATTCCTGGCACAGTTCTTGCTTTTCTCATATTCTTAGCTTTGCCTCTCACATTAACAAGTGAAAGCCTTAAAAGTGGTCGCTGATATAACACAGTCGCTTGTGTGCATGGGAATGAAAAGGAATGTGTACCAACTCAATCCAGAAATAATAGTCTTAAATTTGCTATTAGTTATTACCACTTTCTGTCCCTGCGGGTGACATAGACTTGTAAATGCCCAGAACAATTGCACTTCTAAAGTTGAATAAACTCGACTTACAAATGTACACATAGTATTATAGATACCTTTCTAGAACATAGAGTTCTAGTCATCTCTTGCTTTACAATGCTTTTAAGATGATTCCCATGACTGTTCTGAGGGCAAAGCTTGGACTCCCTGACACTGACATGACCTGGAGTCTGTTTCTACCTCTCAGGTTTCTTTTTCTACCTTCACTCTGTCTCTATCATTCCACACCCAGAAATAGGCACTGCTTTTGCTTGCCTGACTTCACCATATCCTCTCTCGCTGCTCAGTCAGAAACACTCTTTCCCTTCTCTCGAATTTTTCCTGTCTTGCCTGTAAGGTCTCAGCTTGGATGTCATTTGGGAAAACATTTATGAATACCTCAAATGTGTCCTGGCAATCTCTGTGTGTCTCTCTGTCTCTCTTTCTCCCCTCCCCCTTTGACCACAGCCTTTCTTCTAATGCCACCATGGCTGCCTACAGGCCTATCTGCGGCCCCACTGAGCTACTAGATCCTATTCTGCTCACTGTGGCTTCCTTAGGGCCTAGTTCAGAGCACAATAATTATTCAGTGAATGCTACTAAATTTTCTGCAGCTGTTCTCAACAACTATATATATAGAGAAAACTATAGGGGAAATTTCTAAAAATATGAATACAAAACATAATATAGACTTCAGAAATGAAGTTTAGATTTTCATTTTTCTTTTTTGAGACAGGGTTTTCCTGTCACCCCAGCTGGCCTCAAATTCGCTATGTAGACTAGGTTGGCCTCGAACTCAGATCTACCTGCCTCTGCCTCACGAGTGCTGGGGTTAAAGGTGTGTACCACCATGCAAGACGTAGATTTTCTTTTTTAATGATGAAATGGAACGTCTTTTTTGAAAATTAGGAATAGTGGAATACACACAAGCAATAGCGGAAGTTCATACAAAAACTGAATTAATGATGGCTTGGTGGATAAAGTTCCTGCTGCACAAGTACAAGGACCTAAGTTTGTGTCCGTAACATCCACACAAAAGCTAGATGTAGTGGCACGTGCCTAGAACCTCAGTGCAGGGAGACAGAGGTGCTCCCTGCCCAGCTAGTCTAGCCAATCGATGCGCTCCAGGTTCAGGGAGAGATCCTACCTCAAAAATTATTGAATAAATAAAATAAGTCACTGAGGGAGACATCCAGAAGTCAAACTCTAGCCTCCACAGCACATGCACACACCACCCACCTACACAATCACATACCACACACACACAAAAATGAACAACTGAAAAAAAGAGGATTACTTACCCCCCAAACTTTGTGTAAAGCGAGACTGTATACAAGCCTGGTTGGCTGGAGTCTCTTACCATAAAACCACCTTCTTTATCCTAAAATCCAAATTAAGAAATCCTTTTGAAAATTCCAGTTACTAGAGCCATGGAAAAGACTCGAGAGCTTAGGCTTACAATTTTATGATTATCCTTTGCCTAGACAATCTGCTTTCAACAAGTACAATGTAACAACGGAGCTCCTTGGTTCTTTCCACCCATGTGGCTTTCTTCCTTAAATTACCGGGCTCTGAGATGACAGCAAGCACACTCACAATTCCCCACAACTACAAATTCTCACGCATACTAAAGCAGAGCCCGCAACTACAGAGTCTCTCAGGGCCTTTCCAGGGTTAACAGGCAAAATGTCACAGTGCTGTAAGTCCCGGGCATGTGGGAAACGGTCAGTCCGTGAAAATATGCCTCTTCACAATTGTTTTTCAGTTCATATATTTCTCACATTTTCTATAAGCTTCAAATTCCTCACTCAGTTTCATTTTCTATCCACAGAGCATTGTCCCTGTAAATATCTCAGTGCTCTATATAAGAATGTATTTAAATACCCTGATTCCCTGGAGTTCAGTGTTAAATAATGCTCCACAGGAGAGATGGAGGTAACTTAAACAGAGCAAAGTAACTTAAACAAGAGAAAGTCTCAGTTGGAAACCACGCTGCGTGAACAATGGCTAAATCCCCAGTCTCAACAAAAGGGCAAGAAGTGGAAGCGATACATTCCAGACGCCTCCACCAATGGCACCGCATCCATCACTTTAAGATGGAACATGTATTTCATAGTCCAAAAGAAAGTTTTATTCTCATTTATACGAAAGACAAGGGGATTAAATAAGACCCCACAAGTCTATCCTATAAGAAAAATCAAGGACAACTAATTATGCTAATGAATTGACTGATAAAAATTATAACTACCACTTTGAAAACCTATTCTTTCAAAATATATTCTCATATGTGAATGTATTCAATCCTCAAAACAATCCTCTGAGGTAATTTTCTTGTTTTTCATGTTTTATTTCACAGGTACAAAAAGGAGATACAGAAAGATTGGATAGCTTGCCCAGGTCACTCAGCTAGTAAGTAGCAAATGAGAATTTGGAGGCTAGACCACCTCAGTGCTGGACACCCTACAGCTTTCTTCACTGTGGGGGGTCTCTGGTGAGCCAGTAAGGATACTATGGTGATGGGGATCAGAATGGGTAGTCGGAAGGAGCTTTGTAATGTAACTATAGAAACAAGAGCTCAACAAAACCTTGACTGGGGATAATGCACAGAAGAGATGATGCCCAGAATTATCACTGAACAGAACAGCAAAATGGTAAATGTACAGAGCTGAAGGGTTCATCATTCAATCCAAACTTCCTACCTCACAGATGCAAAAAATAGATTAAAACATCCCAGAACAACTCCCTCAGCCCAGTGCAGTTTCCTCTACAAATACTCTGTCCTTTCCTTTTACTTTAAGGTGTGAGAGCTTTAGCACCTTTTTTTCTTTAGATGTTAAATGTCGGTACATTTTCATTTATAAAAGATTTCACATAATATTAATATAAATTATTCTAAAACAAATAACTTCAAGCAAAAAAAGGAAATATGCTTCAGTACTAAAATCAAGGCAGCAAATGACAAATCAGTAAGAAGTAGGGAAAAGCTGCTGGGGAATGGCTACTACCCAGCAATATGGATGTCAATATGCCCACCCCTACCCCACTCCACTCCAAAAAGTTGAGAGTCCTAAGCCCCACTATTTCAGAACATGACCTTATTTTGATAGAAGGCTTTCACAGGTTATCAAGTTGAAGTCATCAAAGTAGCTCTAATTCAGAAGGACTGGTATCCTTATTAAAAGAGAAAATGGAAACAGAGACAGACATGCAGAGAGGGAGGATGAAATGAAGAAACCGGAGAGAACCACCATCCCAGCCAAAGAGAAGGACGCAGATCATCCCTCAGAAGGAATCAAACTACTGACCATGACTTTGGACTGCTGCCCTCCAGAACCATGAGAAAAGAAAGTGTTTTTCAAGTCACTCAGTTTGTGGCTTTGTTAGAGAAGCCCAGCAAACTAACACATCTATTCTCTTTAAAGTTGTATGAAAAAAAAAAAAAACAGCTGGTATTTATACCACAGTCTCTTCAAGCTTTAGAAATAAACATGTGGAACCACTCATTAATTAATGGTGTGGCGGCGTACACCTTTAGTCTCTGTACTCAGGAGGCAGAGGCAGGTGGATCTCTGTGAGACCAAGGCCAGTCTGATCTACTTAACAAGTCCGAGGATGCGGGGGGAGGGGAGGTTCTATTAAGGAGCAGGAGAGATGGCTCAGTGGTTAAGAGCACTAACTGTTCTCACATAGGACCTGGATTCAGTTCCCAGCACCCACATGGGAACTAATAACCATCTGTAACTCTGGTTCCAGAGGATCCAACACCCTCTTCTGGCCGCCACTGGCATTGCACACACAGGTACATTTACATGCATGCAGGCAAAATATTAATACACATAAAAATAAATAAATAAAACTTTTTTGAGACAGGGTCTCCCTGTAGCCCCAGCTGTCCTGGAACTCACTATGTAGACCAGGCTGGCCTTGAACTCACAGAGATCCACCTGCCTCTGCCTCCCGAGTGCTGGGATTAAAGGTGTGTGCCACCATGCCTGGCCATAAATAAAACTTTTTAAAAGAATTGATTAAAATTAATTTGTACTGAGATGAAACTTGCAAAACAAGCACACTTACTTCAGTTCTGAGGAGTTGCTCTGCCTTACTTCTATTTGTATTTCTGCAATACCATCTGACCAGAAAAAAAAAAAAAAGATGTTTTTATCAGATTTTGAAGATTATTTTTCATTCTTCGTATGACTAATAACAATAAAACTTATTGATAACAAATAAAATAAGAGCAAGGCAAGACAGCACTCCTAAGCCCAACAGTAACATTTTCCTGACATGCCTCCAGACTTTTTCTGCCCACTTTCTTACGAAAACATGTGTATGCGACATTTGGCTGAAGGGACATGACATCTGAAAACAATATCCAAGATCTACAGGTAGCTTCTTGTCTTGTTCTCAGATACCAATGTTCCAACATGAATTATTTTCAAATTCGCTAATTATTTCACAGTGTTCTAGAGGAAAAGGACTCCATAGCAGTGTCTTAATAATAAGAAAGGGGGGTTGAGGACACCCATCATTAGGAAATATCAGACCCTAAGTTTCTTGGGAAGGATGAGTAAGGGTAAATCATGATGCGAAAGATAGACATAAGATGACCAACCAACCACTTATAAATCTCTGCCTGTGCTAATTATATCCCTAGACCACTCAGAGCTTTCACCTACACACTTTCCTGTTTGGGCCATGTCATTTCTGTTGCTTTCTTCCTTTAACATCTTTCCATCAAGAATACCTAATCTGCTATCCACCATTCCAAATAAATTTGAGTTTTTCTTGGGGGGGTGTTGTTTTGTTTTGTTGTTGTTCTTGTGGGGAGTTTTTGGATCCTTTGGACTCCAAACTGTTGACTAGATATGGAGGTCAAAACTAAGTTACTGACAACCCTCGTTGTCCTGAGTGCGGCCCAGGGACAGCTGTGGCCTGGGATCCCTGGTTAGCCCAAGCAAACAGCAAAACAACTGATTCAACAACCACGGGGATGTGAAAGGTGTGTTACTAGAAGGGTTGTAGCAGAAAGAAAACAAAATAATGCAGAACATGGAAAGCAGGACAGCTGAAGAGGACTCCGCCCACCCACACTGAGGACAGATTTCAGCTCTGCCATCTGGCACAATACCATGCTGGAATCCCTGTCCCCAGCATGGAATGCTGAGGGGCTCCCACACTGGAGTCATAGGGAAGAGGAAAAACCCTCAGAGAGATTAAATTTCCAAGTGACCATATAACCAAAACACTCAAGTCCATGTTATGAACTTTAGGATTGGAAATCCCTATTTGAAATCCCATGAGACATGAAATCCCATGAGGCCTCATAATGAGATCAGGATTATCTGTTTTCCATGCAACAAATTATCAGTCAGTTCTTGGTCTATCATGTCAAACTTAACCATCCATCACAATAAATCTACCTTCAGCAAATGTACTATCAGGCAATTTTGTCATTGAGCGAACAGTACAGAATGTACTTACAAAAACCTAGATGATATAGCCTCCTACACCTCTAGGCTATATGCTGTACAAATACTAGAGACAGCTGTAACTCAACGGTAACCACGTGAGAATCAAACACATAAAAATATGGAAAATGTTCAGAAAAATATAGTTTTCTGCTCCACCACAATCCCACGGAAACATTGTCAAACACAAAGTCTATTTTGGTCCAAATAGCTTACAAACACAGTTTAAAACAGAAGAGGTTATCTCAATTATCTCACTATAGCAAACAAACCTAAAACAGTCCAACAAGTCACAAATAAGAAAGTAATTATATTCATTATTAAGAATTCATAAATGGTTGTAACCCTTAGGCCTAGCAGAGCAACCAAATCAATGCCAAGAACTCAGTAGATATTTGATGAATTTATGACTTAATGAACTATAATGCAGCTATGAAAATATTTTCAAAGGCTAATTAATGGCAGGAAGAAATATTCACTCATAATGGGCTGTTAAGTGGAAAAGGGAAAGAAAATATTATTAACCTTGACAGGCCAATGTGATTCATAGTATTTTCTTCATAATATTTTCTCCTATTTTTCAAGGTTTAATTTGAGAAAAAGAAACAATGAAACATTTTTAAAGGCTCTCTGGGAAATGTTCCTGTACCTTAAATGAATGAACAATGATATTGAGTTTCAAAGTTAGCTGAGCTGTGACTGTTTAGAGCCAATTCAATTGTGTTTGCATCTATAATACCATTCACACACAATACCTTCTAGAAAGAATATCTCAGACATAAGTATCACAGATTTTTTTTTTTACTGCACCAGACAACAGAACCAAGAATATGCTAACATTACCTTCTAAAGACATTAAAGATATCCCCTTAATCTTCAGAATGTCTACATATTTAGGAACATGAGAACATTTTTTGTTTTTAAAGATTCACAAAATAAACTTTTACTTACTCATACTGATCTAGGTTGTTTGATTTCTTTCCTGTGACATAATTACTAGGGATATATCCTTCGCTCCTAGAAGAATAAAAAACAAGTAAACAGAAATGACTTTACTTCTTGTTTAAGGAAAGGTAACCAGCTGGCACCAACAATTCACTATATCTAAGTACTATTTTCACACTTTATCCTCACAAAATTTCTGAGGGATACAGGACATTATTACACATTTAGATTAAGGTATTCTCTCAAAGCCCCCAAAGTTAGATAGCATCAAGGTCAAAACTCGAACTCTAAGTCCTTCCAGTAGTCTATGATGCTGGTCAAGAATTCTTCATTTTGACGGGTTTGGTGGTACACAACGTTAATCCCAGCAATCAGGAGGCAGACCACTTGAGATCAAGGCCAGCCTGGTCTACATAGAGAGTTTCAGGCCAGTTGGGGCTACAGGGAGATCCTGGCTCAAAAACAAAAAACAAAAACAAAAAAAGAACTCATAATTTCTAGGATGTTTTAAAGAAACTATCACTTCACAAAAGTCAAAGCGTTGAACAAAGCCAACTGCCACTCTGATACCTCCGAGGTTGCTACACAACAGCTCTATAAAAAGGTGGTCCCTAACCTTTGCATTGAACCATGGGGCACTTATTAAAAGGCAAATTCTTGAGAGATCCGAGTTGGGAAGACCTATATAGCAAATGAACTTTCAGTTTTACCCCAGATAACCCTTATGCACACTATGTTACAGTTTAAAGAGCATTTCTGTGTTGGCAGGAGCCAAGATAGCCAAGATACTCAATATATGAGTACAATATTATATAACTGTATTAATTCAACTGTGAACCTAAAAATTTACAGCCAGTTTTGAAAGAGATGCATCCTTGCTCTGGAAATTGTTATTGAATATGTCAATGCTGTTGTAATGAAATGCTTCTTCTAACCATGTGGTTATTAAATAATTTTTTTTAAAAGATAGTACAAAAAATCTTTATGATGTTTTGTGATGTTTTATTTGGTATTGAATCTTTAGTGGCTACCATTGTAATCATAGGAGGAGTTCGGTCATCAACTCCTGATTCTGAAATGTGGGAAAAGTTAAGGATCGGCCTTATCTTGCTTTTCCTGCATGAACTAAACCAACCAACTGATAAGATCATTCTTTAGACAATTACTAAGCGTAGATGGGATGGCAGAATTAGAAAAACCACTATTTTGTAATTTCTAAGGCAAAAATGGATCTAAGTATCATTAGTGGATGCTAATGTTAGCAGGAGACACCCTATACAGACTTCATGATGTAGTACTGAGGCCAGCTCTCAGGACAGCAGTAGCATCTTCTAAGGTGATCAATTTCTTAGAGCCAACCCCAGGTTGCAGAAAATAAGAAGACATAGAGGCCTGCTAACATTACCATAAGGGAACAACCCCCTTAATATAAATGGAGGCTCACTATGTAGGATAAATGAACTGGTCTCATCACAGATCAAAAATGAAAAAGGGAGGGGACAGCTGTAAAAATACAATAACAAAAAGACATGGGAGACATCCAAGTCAGATGTGGAAGAACACACCAGCAGTAAGGTTGAAGAAATTATTCTGCTCAAACCCTAAATTACCTGTACAAATAATGCTTTGTGTTTAAATTTCTGCATATATATATATACCTAAATATACATATACAGAGAGTGAAAAACTTAAGTGATAAGAAGGTCCATTATACTGTGTGTGGGGAGAGAGAGAGAGAATTATAATAGATCATTTCTTAGAAAAATGTAGCTAAGTATAAAGCATTTACCTAGTATATG